GCAAATTCATCATTAAGAGCGCACAGCCGCCATCTACCTTTTTTCATTTTCAAGGCTCTCGTTGCCAACATGAAATTTCGGTAACGAGTTATGTTCTATCTGATCGCTTGTAACCCTTTCTCCATGCTCTGTTGATGTTGGCTACTGTTTAGGAAGTATTACGGGTGAGTTAGAGCCCATGCAAGAAGCGTTAACCTATTTCTTCTTTTGTCCATGAAGGGCTTGTACAGTAGATGATATATCGGATGAAATGTGAAAATCAAAATTTGAGTGGGAGATTTAACAGACATATGAGGTTGTTTCTTTTGTTCACTGAGCTGACCTGAGGCGCCGAATGCTGTTTACTAGAAATAGTTCAGTTCAGATCAGTGTACTGGGCGCAGAATGGGGCCAACTCCAACGTTTGTTAATATCCAAGGAATTTCCTACACAACTAAACGCTGCGGACAGAACTTATTGTTTGGTCGTGTTGTACTATTAATAAAAACCAGAATGTTTTTATTATATATGTTCAGAGGACGGACAATTTTGCTTTGCGTTCATGAAATTGAGGTAAGTGCACTTATGAGGTAGCGCATTACTGTCGAGAAAAGAAGAGCGAATAATGTTTAAAAAATTCTATCTTGGAAATCTACTACGTTTTTTACCATAAGATTAAGTAATAGTCTTATAAGGCTGTACTTAGTTTAACAAGACCGAAACTAACGAGCGTAAGCAAGCATATATACAAACACCCGAGACATGCCATCAGTCTTTTTTGTTAAACTGTATGCAAAACATGAAAAGGAACGGCTAGCTTATTCGTTTTCTCAAAATAGTCGTTGATATTCTTCCACTCCGCTCTGTTTTGTTATCTTAAAACTGAGCCCAGAAGTCAAAAACATACTGAAAACTACTCTGGTATGCATAGAAAAGTGATATATTTCGTCTTCAAAAGAAGATATATCCCTAGTTTTTAGAGAAGTCAAAAAACTGGCCAACATTTCCCCTTTTTCTACTGAATTTATCTGCAAAAAACGTAAAGTACGCAGATATTCGACGCCGAGATATATAATCAAAGACATTTTACAGAAGGTAACTTGTTATAGAAAGCTCTTTAATTAATTCTGGGCATATTCATTCGCACCTTTTGCTGTGTAGGTTCATTTTTCTCGGGAATTAATTGGTATGACCCAACCAGACAGCTGCATAAGGAAGAATATATAAAAACTCGTTATTTAGGTAAATGCTTCTAAGAAATGTCTTATTTTAAAGGTTTTCTCGTCATACTGGAAATCCCAAAATTATTACAAACAAATATGGCAGGAGGAAATTTCTCTTAGTGTACAAAAATGGTACCTTTACGATTACACCTGATAATTCCATCTAAATTTATTTATAGTTGACCGGCATGTCCACATATGAGCTTACGAAATATCTTACTGCTGTGACATTCCGATCGGCAAGATCAAGAGAACGTCCAACGTAACTCAATCAATGTATAAAGGGAGGAAACAACTAGAAATTCTTGTGAAAACGTGTTGGAATACATTGGACTTTGGACTATTCGGTAACAGCTATAGATTTCACTGCACATACCCGAAAAATTTATAAAACGATTATTTTTAGACGTAATTCTACTTGTGCTATTATATTCGCTCGTTTTTTGCATGAACAGGCTTCCTCTAGCTTTAAAACTTAAGTTTACCTAGTACGCTCAATTTTCACTTTTCGAAATTTTCCGTTTCGCCAAAAAGCTGGCATTTCTAAACAACATAATATTACTTGATAAATCGCAATATGCCCTATTTTGAAGGAAGACAATTACTTTACTTCTGTACGACTTTGGGGAGCGCAACTTGAGCCACTTTTGCGTAACAGGGATTTTCTTGTAAAACCTAGGATTTTATGAGTTAGGCCACCTACTGTGCATTTCAAAACTGTACACCAAAGGCGAGTATAGAAGGATAATTACAGAATACACGTAAATTGCTAAGCAATAAAAATCCCTGCCAGCACACGCCCAAAAATGGGCAGGGGTGACGACGGGGGGAAGCGGGGTGGACGACGGAGGGATGGTTAAGTCGTATGTATTATTCCGCAACCGGAAATTTTCAGAATGATGTAGACGGACCTAAAAGGCAATCCTACTCATTTTTTGACTATTTTTGAACTTATAGTACGTTTTTAGGTGAAATATAATATTATTTTTACGGATAATTTAGTAATATGCATGCCCTCCCTTGATTTTCGACGGGGGGATCCGGGGGTGAGGACGGGGATATGCGGGTTTAAAAACCCGTCGTCGCCCACGGATCACCCCCTATCTCCCCAAAATTTCGACGGGGAGATCCGGGGATTTGGCTGATAGTGATGTATACAACACAGCAAAATAGCTACTTTGAATTTTTAAAAGCGAGGCAAAAAATTGGCCAGCATTTTCCGAACAGCCTAATATTTTGCGAAACCCACCAGAGAGACAGTCCCAAGCGATTGGACAGCGTTAGATTAATATAAGAAGAGCGCATTGGAAACGCCTGAAGAAACATAGCCCAATCCGACTGCCACATAATGTTCACGGGGAAGCTGCTTTGGTTCTTCGTATGTTCTCTAGACTACTCAGGCGTATATAAACTAAAAACTAAAGCGATTCACAACGGCCGCTGCTGCTTGCCCCTTCCCTACGTAAAAAAACACGCCAAGTTTTCCTTTATGCGTATAAGAGGGCAGCACCCGTGGCAGTAAAAGCTTAAAGAGGCTGAGGACAGGTAGACAACTTGCGCGCACACTTTCTGAAGATTAAGTGACTAGAATTACTGGAAGTATAAAGAACGTTGAGTAGACACGCAACCTGCCGCAAGACAATAAAGTAACCTCATGCTTTTTCCAGTCGGCTCCTCTCCGCCACTTCGCCAAGCAAAACGGTCATCTGATATGGCCTTTTACCAGTCTTTCCGTAAAGCCCCTTAATATTAGCCTTCTCGAT